ACAGATGTGATGGAAACCATCAAAGTTTCCTGTCCTGTTTCATTGCCCAACCGCCAGCAGTCTCTTATATCCTATGGGGTTTTATGCAGAAAAATAGGATCCCATGGAAAACAATGGTTTTAACCTGGATCACTGCCTCTTGTATCCTTTGGGGTTTGATGCAGATCAATAGGATCCCATAGAAAGCTGTGGTTTTAACCTGGATCGCTGTTTATTGTATCTTAAGCAATACTGAGCTTAAGATGAATGTATAGCCAGCTCTCCCATTTCCAAGTGTGTGTGAGTGTGGTAGGGAGGCAGAATGTTAAACAGGATTTCTGACGATATAAAAGGGGTGATTCTCTGCACTAAAAGGATGGTCATCAATCCTTTCCCCTTTCAATATGATGAGGTTGTAATATAAGATAAGCTACTCATCTGCTTGGTTTTACTTTATTTTTAAGAATGAATCATGCAGAAGGTCATGCATTTCCTATTTTAGCTTTATAGGAGTGGAACAAATATGCTTGGATGATATAGTACGCTTGGTGTAGAATATAAAGCATAGAAATGGATTTGAATAAAATGAACGCCAATTTCAAACACCAGTTCCTGCTCCTTTTACTTAAACAGAATCTTTGAGGGAAAACAAGAAGTTATGACTCAATTAATTTCCAGTGCACAATTGTGTCTTTAATTCCACGGCCTGTCTACAAGTATCCTGTAGTTCTCCTATCATATGGTGACGCAAACAGATTAATTGCTGTCAGGCCATGTGATTGACCATGTCTTCAACTTAGTTTCTCCACAATAAGCCAGGCCCTAGCTTGCAGAGTTGTAAAGCTTTCATTCATAATACGTGAGAGCAGGGAAAACAAATAATACTCTTCTAGGAATGAGTGCGTTTTAGTGGTTATCTCTCTTCTAGAAGTCAATGTTGTTATGCCTGTATTACCTTTCAGTCTGATCAAAATATTACCAGGCTGTGATCATGACACCAAGAATTAACTGTGCATGCCCGTTGTGTAATTTGCCTTTTGCATCTTGCAAGTACATAGAGGTTATCCACCAGGAAAAGCAGCTTAGACTTGTTTCCTTCCTGAAATCCACTCTTCCTGAGACAAGGCATTGGCTTGCCCTTTTGTTCTTTCAGCTTATAAGTCTTTATTCTTGCTTAGGTAGTAGTTGCGTCTAAGGACTTCATCCCATTTGCTGAAAACAGGTGGAAACGTCTTCTTAAAATTGCATTTTGTCCCATTGAGTTGAAAAACCAAATCATATCATTTCTCAAAACCCATCACACACTCTTATCTTAGAGCCTTTCTCCCGAAACCATCTGTTTTCTGAGCTATCACACAAGTGAGTATAGTCCCTGCCCACTTCTACTTTTTTTTATAGAACAGGTATAAAGTACATTTTTATGGGAAAAAAAACCCAAAATATAATTATCAGTATTGAAATCATTACTTTTGGAAACAATGTGATCTGAACACTTATAATTGTTTGTTCAAATTTAAGGCAGAATTATGATGTTCCAGGGCTTCCTAGTGACTACTACTTAGGTAAAATAAAAAGGAAATTGGAACTTTAAAAGGCAGCAAAAAAGCAATTTCCAAACCAAGACTACAGTGAAGAAGAAAATAAGCTAAGGCAAAGTAGAAATCTCTAGAAATTGTACTGTTTCTGCTGAATAAATTAATTTTAAAAAATTGTGCAAGGATCATGCAGCAGGATTTTGGAAGATTAGTGGGGCATCAGTGCTCTGTAGGACACTGCCTATAGGAATGCCCATTCTCACACATCACCAAACAATCCAACATGGGAAATTCTGACAGATCCCATTACATGTGTAAACAAGTGCCTTCTCCTGTTTCACGAGTTAAGAAGATCATTTCTCCCTATCTCCCATTCCTCCCATTTCTAAACACTTATAAAATAGTTCACTGACAAAACAATATGGACACCAGGTGGAAGTCTGGTTGCATCGTATGATGGACTTTGTAGTACTTCTTTTGTGAACTGTTTTAGAAGTGTTTAGGAATGAAGTGGGATGGGATTACATGTGATGAAGTCCTTAGTCTTCTAAGGAGTGGGTGGCTCTGCAGGAAGTCAGCAGCAAGAGAACTCCATCGTTTTATGCACACTTCTTAAAATGACAACAGTGAACATGTTGGCTTCAGTCAACTCAGGTTATGGGCTATCTTTTTGAAAACAAACAATGGGCTATCTGACTCAGCACTGCCAATTCTGACTCGCTGTAACTTTCTAGTGTTTTCAGGCAAGATTCTTCCTTGGCTTTGTCTGGTGGTTTGTAGCATTGCTTGGTGGTCTTCCATCCAAGTACAACTGGGTTCAGCTAGCATCTGAAATCAGATGAGATAGGGTATTCTCAGGATGTAGTTGTGGCCTTCAATAATCTTTTCTGAAGGATGTATTAGAAGTTCTTACACAATTAGTTTCTTGTATGAATAGGCATCGCTGATGAATCAGCAACTTCATATCAGCTTGCATTGTCTTAAACATAATGGTTTTGTAAAGTGAGCCAGTTTTACAAATCTTTCAAGTTGTGTTGTTCTGGGAATGAAATGAAAAGGAAGGGCACATTGACTGGGAGACTAATAGCTATTGAAAGTTTGAACTTCTGCTTCTCGGGCATGACGTCAAGTTGGCAGATGGACACTTCAGGAAAAAAAATGGGAATGCTACACTTGTCCCCATTGATCAGTAGAAAGGGCAAGAACCACCTTTTTTCTCTATCAACAGATGTAGCAAGGGATGCTAAAATTGGCTTGAAATGCATATAGCTCACAGCTATGTTCTAGTTTCCCAGACCGTATCTTGCTTCTCGGTCCTTTCCCTTCACTCTAGTTCCCTTCACTTCTGTATCTCCTTTTATTTTTTGTTTTACTTTGTAAGCTTGATGACAGGGCGTCCTTTTGAAAGTGATTCAAATTGCTTTTTGGAAGACACACATGATCTGAAAATTAGCCAGCGCTTGGCAAAGGCTTCTTGTTTTTTCAGTAGTTCGGTTTTAAAGCTATTTTTAAAGACAAGTCTGGAAAATTTCAATTGGTTCTTGGTTATTTCTTTCATGTGTTTTTGTCGGATACTCTTGTGAGTTGAGAAGCAATAAATAAACCCCCACCAGTATGGTGACTAGAAATAGGACTTCAAAAAGAGCTCAAGAGCTGCAGTCCAGAAAGTAACTTTCCCAAATTCTGCAAGTAAGATAAAAATGCAGTAATCAAATTAATTTAAAAAGTGGATCACAGAAATAGTTTGGGACCTTCCTTTGCTTTCTTTTAAAAAAAATAATGGCTGTTTTGCAATTCTACCCTGATTTGGCACTGAAAGAAATACGAATGTGTGTCCTTCAGGAAATGCTTTGACCTGTGGCAGATGTTCTGTCCATGCAGGTGATGAGTGAAGATTTGGGAGGATTGATTGTGAGTTTGAGGAAGGAAAGGAGGTGGCTGTAGGAGGTGGTTGCCAGTCACTGGGACTCAGGAAGAGGTGATGGTTTTCTGGGAAGCAGAGGCAGAAAGGAAAATCCCAGAGGCAGAGTCAAAGAGAAGCTGAATGTGTATTTCCCTGATTCAACTGAAAAATCATTTGCAGATTGGATGTGCCCGGACCCTCTTTTGTTTCATGATAGAAAATATATTAGAACCAACGCTGAAATATTATGTTTGTCTGTGCCATAATATACCAAACTGCTATTTTTTTAAAAAGGTTCCATCATTTCCATGAATGAGGAGGGCAAAATAATGCTACTGCTCTGGATGTGATCACAGTTGCTTCAACCCATCCATAAATACATTATACATTAATTGCATTTAAGGTGGTACTGTGAATCCGAATGTCACACTGTACATTAGCAAGCAGTATATGTGTTACCAGTCATACAGGGAGCATACCACCCCCTGTTGTGTCAGCTCCACTGGCTGCCGATACAATTCCGAGCACAATTCAAAGTGCTGGTCTTGTCCTATAAAACCCTATACTGCTCTGGTCCAGTGTACCTGTCTGAACGTATCTCCTTCGATGTCCCGCCTTGGAGTTTAAGATCTTCTGGGGAGGCCCTGCTCTCAGCCCTGCCTCTGTCTCAAACATGTTTGGCGGGGACGAGGGACAGGGCCTTCTCGTTGGTAGCCCCCCGCCTGTGGAGTTCACTTCCCGGGAAAATTAGGTCATCATCATCCCTCCTTAACTTTAGAAAGAAGGCTAAAACATGGATGTGGGACCAGGTCTTCGGGCAATTAGGTTAAAAGATAATTGATAATGTTTGACTATGGCTTGGAAGTGGATTTGGATAAGTTAAGCTGAGTACTCAATAGTATATGGCTAGATAAACAGCCACCAGACTGGTAATAGCTCAATTGACTGTAAATATACTGTTTTAATTATTATGTCTTAATGTTTATGCTTTTTAACTGTTATAATTGCTGTTTTGTATTTTATGATGCGGCATTGAATTGTTGCCAATTGGAAGCTGCCCTGAGTCCCCCTAGGGGTTGAGAAGGGCGGGGTAAAAATGTTCATAATAATAATAATAATAATAATAATAATAATAATAATAATAATAACAACAACAACAACCAGTAAATCATGTTACATGGAAACAATACATTATTCAAGAAAAGACTGAAAGACAATCAACAACAAAATAAGAAGTGAAGGAAAGTTCCTCCAAGCTACACTAGCAATTGTAATCTTTGTGTGGAATCATTGTGTAGAATTCTTAGTACTTATAAATGTCTTACCAGTGTTTGAAGGTCTTTACATCCATTATACCAGGCATTCTTATAACAGGCGTATGAGTTAATTTTATAATACTATCCTGTATGGCAGGCATGGGGCTGAAATGATGAGAGGGAATATACCAAGGGCTACCTGGTGATTTCATGGCAGGTAGAAGTTAGGAACCAAGTATGTTTCATTTCTAGATAAGTTCCTTGGCCATTGTACCACATCAGCTGTTGTGGAAAACATTACTTCCCTGCTTTTTGTTGTCATTTCAGGTCCAGGCCTGTCATCACTATGGATATCACCATTTTCCTGCCTGCATCTATTGACATCACAGCTCCGCAGTGTCATGATGGCTTGCAGCAAGTGAACTGCCTAAATGTTACAGCCTGCTTTAGTTTCAGAGGAAAACATGTCCCTGGGCTGATAGGTAAAGCATGATCCTGATTTCTAAAACAAATGCCTTTACAATTGTTGTTCTCAGAAGATTCTTGCTAAAACTTGGAAATCATAGACAAGGCTCTAGCCAACCAATAATTTGACAAACATCATGAGGCTTGATCAAGATCTTCTGTCTTTCTTATCCCATGATCTCATTTCCAAATGACTGAGACTCATAAGACTCATAATGCAGTGCCAGATAACTACAGTTTGGACTCCCATATACCATCACTTATCTGTGGGATTTTCTCCCCCTAATAATGAAATCAAGCTGATTGGTGTGCAGCCAAAAGATAGTCGCTAAAGAACAGAAAGGAAGGTTTAAGCAGGCAGAAATCTATTTGCAGAAGTCTATGTAGTAATCTATTTGCAAAAGTCAGTTTATTTAAATATCTAGATGAATAAAACCATCCACCGAATAGTCAAAATATGGGTGGCATTTAGACGTATTTAGATAATTGGTATCATACTTAGATGTTTATGCACAGACAATTTCTCATTCATGTATTTTCAATTTATTACCCGTAGACTTATTTTTTTCAATTGGTTCATCTGTATTTATTTTTGTGGGCTTTTCACTCTGATTTTATACAGATGTGGGGGAGGGGAATCTCACTTGGAAACTGGGAGTGTAATAGTAGTAGAGGGCAGAGTGTCCTAATAGTAAGAATTGTTTGGCACCCTGAGCAAGAATAATCATCATAGGAAGCAGATTTCAAGTACAAATGCCTTTACAATTGTTGTTCTCAGAAGATTCTTGCTAAAACCTGGAAATCATAGACAAGGCTCTAGCCAACCAATAATTTGACAAACATCATGAGGCTTGATCAAGATCTTCTGTCTTTCTTATCCCATGATCTCATTTCCAAATGACTGAGACTCATAAGACTCATAATGCAGTGCCAGATAACTACAGTTTGGACTCCCATATACCATCACTTATCTGTGGGATTTTCTCCCCCTAATAATGAAATCAAGCTGATTGGTGTGCAGCCAAAAGATAGTCGCTAAAGAACAGAAAGGAAGGTTTAAGCAGGCAGAAATCTATTTGCAGAAGTCTATGTAGTAATCTATTTGCAAAAGTCAGTTTATTTAAATATCTAGATGAATAAAACCATCCACCGAATAGTCAAAATATGGGTGGCATTTAGACGTATTTAGATAATTGGTATCATACTTAGATGTTTATGCACAAACAGTTTCTCATTCATGTATTTTCAATTTATTACCCGTAGACTTATTTTTTTCAATTGGTTCATCTGTATTTATTTTTGTGGGCTTTTCACTCTGATTTTATACAGATGTGGGGGAGGGGAATCTCACTTGGAAACTGGGAGTGTAATAGTAGTAGAGGGCAGAGTGTCCTAATAGTAAGAATTGTTTGGCACCCTGAGCAAGAATAATCATCATAGGAAGCAGATTTCAAGTGCCACTTGTTACTCAGCAATATTTGAGTTGTCGCGTGCCTTCAAGTCACTTTGGCCCTAAAATGAACCAATCACAAGATTATTCTTGGCAATATTTGTTCAGAAAAGGAAGTTTCACTTTGCCTCCCTCTGAGGCCCTTCCTGCATTGCCATAAAAAATCCAGATTATCAGCCTTAAAGCAGTGTAGTAAGAGCCTGAGGCTAAGGGGAGTGCAACTTGTCCAAAGTCATGACTAAATGGGGATTCCAGAGTTGTAGCTGACACTCAAAGCACTACATCACACTGACTGTCTTAGTAATATAATGGTGTAATTTTAGTATTATTGCATCAAAATTAAGAGACACCATAATAGTACTTGCACTACCACAGCACATCACAAAAGATTGTACGAGGGGTATTTTTTAAGTAAGGTCTGTTTGAACATAAGTACACAACGAAAGTTTATTTCAAAAAAGTAAATTTATTTTCAGAAAGTACATACTTCACTCTATTTTTCGACATAGTTGCCAAGTTTGTTCAAACACTTATCATACCTCTGAACCAATTTTAAAATACCCTCTTCATAAAAACTTGCCGCCACCAAAAGCCACCAAATCGTCTGTAATCAAAGAAGGGCGACCGGAGCGGTCCTCATCATGGATGTTGTCACGGCCATCTTTGAATTGTTGTACCCACTTACGCACTTTGCTTTCACTCATAACAGTATCACCGTACACTTCACAAATCTGTCAATGAATTTCTGCAGCAGGCAGGTTCCTTGCTGACAAAAACCGTATCACTGAGCGAACCTCACATGCGGAGGGTGAGTTGATAGTCTTAAACATTTTTAAAGCACAGAACAGAACCATACAGGTTAGCTACAGAGCGGAAACTGAGCACAGTTGTTCCCGAGGCATGCCGGTACACAACACACGCGCTCGTTGCGGTATGCGCACGTACTACTAGTGTCTACAACAAAACGGACCTTACTTTAAAAATACCCCTCGTATATACATTATTCCCACAACACTTCCAACACTTCCAATACAGTAGGCCAACTGTATTATTTTGGTACTACAGATGGATGGTGGTTTCACTTTATGTCACATATTGAGTCCATAATAGACGTGAGATTGAACTTGAATTATTCCTGACTCAAAATTTAGTCTTTTTTGTCACTATCTGCATGAGGTATCAACTATCTCAAAGTCAAAGACAACCATGGGAAAACATTTGATTGGTTGGTTGTCCTCAAATAGCCTATGTTGCCAGAAGTCTTTCAAGGGGAATTTTTGCTTATGATGAAATTGTTTTTATTGAAAACTGAAGGAACAGAAGGGATATTTTGAAAGTAGATTGCTTCCTGCTCCTCCTTCATAAATCTCATAAATCCAAAAGCAATCTTGGAATAAGCTGATATATGGTGCTAGTTAAATGCTTCGAATGATGAATGTTTTCTTGAATTTCTTCATTTACAGCTGTTTATAAATTACACATTGCTCTTTTAACTGTTCTGGCACAGATCGGTATAAACCGTTGGTTGACTTCTGTATGTGTATGGTAATGTTGCTGCAACGATGTTGCCTGTTTTAATGGCTGTTTAGATCTTTGTTTAGTTCTTCAGCATATTTTTTGAGTCACGGCAGAAATTCCAGAAGCTTTATGGGGAACATGGCGAGGTCTAAAATCTTAAGGAGTCTTTTTATAGTGGAGATGAGTATATCTCAGAGAGTAGTCATGAGAACAATAGCATTCCGCTAAGCAAAGAGTGTGTCTCCTTGCTATCACAGAGAAAACAAAGTATGTGACTGCTTTTACAACTCCCATATCCATGAAGCAGATGAAATAGCTGTATTCATCCATTAGATGTAAGAATCAGAGTCATGACCAAATTTAGTATAGAGAATTGAAGAGAACCCGTTTACATCTGTACCCCCTGAACTATTATGTAGATCAGAACTTGCTTTCATGCTTGCAGGTCTATGAAGACAGCTCCTGTGATCTGTTGCCTTTCAAAGCCATCTTCTGTGTGCTGAGTCAGGTTCAGCACTTGCGATGTGCAGCTTTTGCCTTTCCTGAAGCCAGCTTGCTGTAGAATCAGACATGGGTCTATTTTTTCCATAATTTTATGCAAAATAAGTCTCTCCAGAACTTTGTAGAGGTGGCACAACAGGGAGATTGGTCTGTAGCTTTTTGGGAATGTTTTCTATATAACCCAGGCTGTCAAGCTAGATTTAAGCATCTTTCTTTAYAAAAAAACTGAATGGTGTGTTTTAGTGAACAGCCAGGAAACTGAAGGCACAATYTTAATCCCAAAACTATMAAACTCAACCCAAAGAGTTTGATCTGCTGTCTTAGAAAAGAAGTGATTGCCTTTGATATACTATAATGGGTATACARARARARARARACACACACACACACACARACATACATACATACATACACATACACACACACARACACWCTTCCCTKTGCAATTCTGTGATGCATGCATATACTGATGCAGCTATATGTCAGTTTATATAGTACATAATACAATGAATTTACCATTCACAAGAGCATTCCAATGATGTGAGCAGTGCAATATGTAATGAAACCACTCTGCAGGATGGTTCCCATTTGCCAAAAAAGGATGAAAAGATAAAAGCAACTGTGCTGATTCTTATAAATGAACTGTAATTAGTTTCATCTCCACCAGGAACTCATCTTTGCTTGGCATTACAATAGAAATGAAAGTTTACTGCTGCTGAGAAAGTCCATCACTTTCCCTGTTACCTATTGTTAAGGATTGCAACTATTTTTTTAATTCTTGTGTATTATGTATACGTTGACAGCAAGGTTAGAAGCTTGATAGATACAGGGAATGCTGCGGATGTAGCATATCTTGATTTCAATAAGGCCTTTAACAGAGTCCCCCATGACCTTCTGGCAAGCAAACTAGTCAAATGTGGGCTAGGCAATGCTACTGTTAGGTGGATCTGCAATTGGTTAGGTGACCGAACCCAAAGAGTGCTCACCAATGGTTCCACCATCCTGGAAAGGACTAGTGGAGTGCCACAGGATTCAGTCCTGGGCCCAGTACAATTCAACATCTTTATTAATGACTTGGATGAAGGTTTAGAGAACATGCATATCAAATTTGCAGATGACACAAAATTAGAAGGAATAGCTAATATTTCAGAAGACAGGATCAGAATTCAAAGTGACCTTAACAGATTAGAGAGCTGGGCCAAAACTAACAAAATGAATTTCAACAAGGACAAATGTAAGATACTACACTAAGGCATAAAAAATAAAATGCAAAGATACAAAATGTTTGATGCCTAGCTCGACAACAGTCCATGTGAAAAAAATCTTCATAGATAAAAAGTTGAACACGAGCCTACAGTGTGATGCAGCAGCTAAAAAAGCCAGTGGGATTTTGGGCTGCATCAAAAGGAGTATAGTGTCTACATCGAGGGAAGTCATGATGCCTTTGCAATTTGCTTTGGTTTGATCTCACCTGGAATACTGTGTCCAGTTCCGAGCACTACAGTTTAAAAGAGATATTGACAAGCTGAAAGGTGTCCAGAGAAGGGCAACTAAAATGATCAAAGGTCTGGAGACCATGCCCTTTGAGGAGCATTTTAAAGAACTGGGTATGTTTAGCCTGCAGAAGAGAAGGTTGAGAGTAGACATGATAACCATGTATAAATATGTGAAAGGGTGTCATAAGGAAGAGGGAGGAGACCTTGAAACTAGGACTCAAAGACATGGGTTCAAATTACAGGAGATTCCACCTATAAATGATAAGTTGACATGTAATTTAAAAGTTAAAAGAGGAATATGGAAAAAATTATTTTGATGAAGTTTGGGGAAAACTTATTGAAAATGGATTAAAAAAAGAAGGATTATGCTTTCCTGCATGACAGGGGCTTGGACTAGATAGTCCATGTGGTCTCTTCCAACTCTATTATTCTATGATTCTAAGCTTATGGGAGTAACCCTACTAATTGAAAAGTTCTGGAGTGTCAATTCTAATTGCCCTGGCACTGCTGCAGGATAATGTCAGCATTTTCTCTAAACAGGAAAGTGAAGTGGCACTGGCATGAAATGCTTCTATGGTGTTATTACGTATGTGAGAAGGCTGGTTACATGAGTAATTTGTACTGTTTGGCTTCCTTGGTCTCTCTCTCTGTGTAACATACTGGAAAAGAGCTAATTTATTGCCCATACTCAATTTTACATGTATTCCTCAGAGAGCAACATATAAGGGATGATCTGAGTCAGCTGCAAACTACCATTCTCGTGACACTTGCAGTTTTTTTCAAGAACATTATGCGTAGTATTCCAGTTTTCCACTTCTGATATCATCGTTGTGGCTGCCAAAGGGAAAAGCAGAGAAAGATGTGAAGTATACCATGCAAGAGATTCTAAAATGTCATCTGTTGCTTAGACCCTGGATAGATATGTGTTGCTTATGTACCTCTTTTTTCCCCTGAGACTTGAAAGGGCTTGATGGAGAGCCCTCTGAATTACATCATGAGGTGGCTGACAATTCTCTGAGCCACTCTGTGTACAGAGACTTGCCTGACAGATTGGTGTGTGTTGTGTTTGCTCAGTTACTTTTCATTATGGAGAGAAAATCGCCCTATCTTTGTGGTGAACCACAGAACATGTTGATGGTTCACCACATGATGACAGCTACCCTGTGGAGTGATCTAAGCGACCTCTGTGAGGTGGACTGTACTGCGGACTTGCACAGCTTTTTTACCCACAAAGAGGAATGTGACACACTAGCCATGTGTTGTGGTTTGTCTTGCCAGGTACTTCACAAAACCCTCATTCATTCAAATCCAGGCACAGTGCAGAAAAGGGTGCCTTACTCGGTCTCTAGTACAGAGATGAGCAACCTGCAGTTCTCAGTCTAATTTCATTCATAACTGAGACAAATTTTAAAAGTCTTCTACAAGCAGGTTTTCTGTCTCTTCCCAATTTTTTCAGGGGGGTTTGGGGGGGGGGGCTGAGTTTCGGGGGGGGGGCTGAGTCTGAGTGAAAGAGGGTCTACCCTAGCAAACCTTTTGTATCATTACCCCAATACCCCCATCCATATGGGATATATTGAGTATGGTGATCAGATCATGATATGAATAAACATAACAGTTTAAGTAATCCACCAGTAAGGCCTTTTCGCGAACCACCATGAGAATTGCAGGCTACATGCCTGCAAGAGCAAATCCCGCCTACATGCCTGACTGACAATCTTCAGTACACTCAAAGTTCTCTTGATCTTCACAATAGCTGTGTAAGATAGATCAGGCTAAAAAACAATGACTTATGCATTTTGTTCCACTTTGGGGCCCAGAATCTGGATCTCCAAAATCTCAGTCCAGCACTTTACCCAGGCTGTTTTTACAGAGAATGTCCCATGTTTACATTCAATCTCCTTGTCTTATCTTTTTAGGATTGAACTATAACTTGACAGCAGATGTGACCAAGAAGGAAAGGGGCAATCCAATCAGGGTTTATTTTGTCTCTTCTGGAGAAGCAATGGGCCAAATCTCAGAGCAGCTGGAGCTGTCCTATATGCAAGAGAAATGCAAGCACTACCTAGCCTATGTGAAGGTAAATTCATTCTTTCTCTCTTTTCCTTGCTCCATTAGGTAGGTCAGTGTTGGATCTTCACATGCATTTAGCCCTTCCTTGTTCACTTTTCAGGTTCTTAAGAAGGAAATCCTAAGCACACATAGCCATAGATAAATTCTACTGAACTATTTTTACTAAATATTGATAAAATTGCATTGTAAAAGGGCCTTTTTGTACAGAAAGGAAAAGATCTTTTCTGTATGATGATTAAAATTGCTAGAAATGTCTCTGTAAGTAACGTTCTCAGTCTTACCACAAGGAAAGAGGTCCAGATCCCCGTGCAAATATTGAAGTAGATGTCTAAATTGTCTGTAGGAAGTTAGCAAAATTGGTGGAATACCTCATGAAAAAGACTTGTTGCCTTCCCATATCAGTAGATGTATCACATGGTTCTGTTCTAACATTGATCATTCTTGCTAATTTCCTTGGTTACACATGTTGGTTTAAATTGATTTATCATTATTTGGTATGTTATGTGATGAAAATTCAGTAGATAAATGTAATAGTTAAGATTTCAAGAAAATGTTAATGGTCCCATTGTAAATGATCCAACAAAATGAGTTTGTTTCTTGGTTGTTGGAGAGAGTGAGTGAACAATCTATTCAGTGATTATCAGATTTCTTTATTCCAAAGTTTTGATTAGGAATCATGCAAATGTCATAGAAATCTTAATAAGGTTCTTTGGAGGTGCTTCTTGCGCTAGGTCTAAAGCAGTGGGTCTTAACTTGTGGGCCGCGGACTACCAGTGGGCCACGAGGATGAAATCTGGTCCACGATTCTCCTTCCTCTTTATTTATTTATTTTATTTCCTCTCCTTTCGCACCACCTGCCACTCCTTCCCTGTTGCTGACCAGTACCGACCCCTTGGAATATACCACACCAGCTCTAGATTAGTAAATATGGTTTTTGTGGATAAGCGGATGGCAACTACTGGATGGCATATGTTCTGTATCAGAAACTAGAGCTGATGTGGTCTATCCAATTTTCTGAATCAGCATCCCAAATAACCAAACCAAATCTAAAGTTGACCAAAAACCGATTCGTAACCCTTTTGGTACTTGTGCTGCCACGCGCTGGGCCTATAGCAGTTGGCTTTTGAACAGGATGTGCTCTTCGTGCTCAGCGGGAAGCTGGGGTGCTCGGCTGAGAGGCCCTAAGGATTTTCCTATACAGAGTCTTTAGAAGCTTGAAAGGTTTAACAAAGTCCTTTATTATTGCTTAAATCTTCAACAAACAATCAAATACTTCTTAGATCTTCAACAAATTAAACAAATGCTTCTTAACTTATCTACAAAGGACAGGCACCTTGCTTGGAAAACTATTTCTTTCTTTAACAAGGAAAACCCTTTTTGACCCCTCCCCGACAATCTGTTTTCTAAACTTTGCTGGTGTGGGCCCTACTCCCTGCTCCAAACGGCTTCTTGGGTCCCGAGTAGACCTACCAGTCAAGGCTTTGTAGATTTTCCAGCTGGAGTCCTTTTGGATTTTCTCCACAAATGGTGTGGATCTGTATCTTTAACCCCAACAAGGATTGTGCTGTAAAACTGTTTTCCTTAGAAGCTTTAGGGCTGTTCCCCCAGATGTTTCCCTCGGATGTTGCGAGAAACGAACCTTCTCTACAGGTGGGGAAACCTCACGTCCTGTAACTGGGCTTCCAAACTGTAAAACTGCCTGAAGTCTTTCTTTTTCCTCCCAGAGCCCCTGGGGAAAGGGGCGGAACCAAAAAACATAATGATGATTGATGGGTCATTGGCCCTATAATTGCAAACCAAGGGAAGCCACCTTATTGCAAAATGCATGGAACCTTGGAATACATGCAAACACTCAATAGAAAGAAAATGAAGTTGGAGCTCCTAGTACAGCCGTACCAGCACAGTACTAATGTTGGAGAGTGGTTCCTGGTCAAGTAGTCCCTGGTCAAAAATATATTGGGAACCACTGCTCTAAAGACTAAAGACTGTTCTTGTAGAAAATTTAAACATGCAGAGTGTTCCGTTTGTTGCTATTTTTTTCCCCTTGTTGTGTATCAATATGGTTTCACTGATCCACCTTATGTGGGGAGGAGGGAGGATGTTGATAGCACCAAATTTGTCAGCAGCAGAAGCATATGGAGCCAATATGTTCTCTATCGCCCATGTTCCCATCCTTGATTAAAACCATTCATGATGCATGTCAGCTCATGGAATTGACACTCAGCAGTCTGAACCAAAGTTCTTTCCCTCCTGTTGCTGCTCTTGTTGTTTGTGATGATGATATCAATAAGGCATTTCCTTCTTAGAAAAACTGTAGACAGCACTAGAGAGGATCTGCTCCTGAAAGCCATAATAGTGAATATTTTGCTTGGTTTGTCATTAATTTATTCCTTGATAACTAAACTATTTGGGTTTGTTGTATTTCAGTGATAAAGCGTTGCCTGTTGAAATAAATTGGGAACTGAAGTTGCGTAGGTAGGAGAATGCAAAAGGGACACATTTCAATTTCATTTTGTTAATCCTTATGAAGTGGGTGAGGTGGGATGTGCTGTACAGCATTACTCTGTAGAGTGCTGCTCTCTTTTCCCCACTAGCGATAAAAATGACAAGAATGTTCATTTGCTTGCCTAAGGAAGGATGCAAAATGATGGGAATGATGAACCTGGATAGCTTGCGCCCCAGTGGGAGGAAGTGTTGTTGGCTGTTTAATGTCAGAAACATGAAAGAGCCTTGAAAATTCAAGAGGGTTAGACAAAGAGGTCAAGATCATTTAATACATATTGCTTGTTAAATAAAGCAGCAAGAGAAATAAAGTTTTTCTGCATATGTCCTTTACTCATTTTAATTGATCGGGAGTGGTTCTGTTTAACATGTCTTGAGATATTTTATTACCAATATATATGCATGTTCTTTTTGTTTTCCTTTGAGGAAATACATGCAATATGGATAGCTACGTTAAAACTCATTTGTGCTCCTTTCTTTCTTTCAATGTTTGCTTTAATATATATTAAGAAATGTCTTCCTTCTTCCCTTTTCAATTGTAAAAAGTATGCATGTGGATCATGTGCAGCCAAAGAATAATGGATAAGATTATACAAATTGGCTCCTCAAGTCCAGAGAGGAATTCCAAGGGGCCATGTGGTGAGCTTCTGGTCGTGTGTTCAGATTTTTTCAGGGCCTGCCTTTGGTTTAGTAGATTTACAAGCCCCATACTTTTGAGGCATGGTTTCCTGTTGTTGTTTACACTGAAGAGGAGAGGTTAGAGAGCTATTCTATGTTCTGTGTTTGCATGGAAATGCTCCAGTGGGTTAAAATCAGTGATATTAGCCCCAAAAGTCCCTGCTCAGGAGAAATGAGACCTCTTTTAAAACGAAAGAGTTGCCATAGTTAATCATAGTCATGATTCACTCATTCCACTAATTTTAGCTGGTCTGCTTTGAGCATGAAAAAATCTGAATTTAACCTTTTGAATTGAAAGTCTTTGCCAGTTGATAGTGCTCTGATACATGGTGCTGGTGAGTTCCTTATGCAACTGCCCTTAATTCCTTGATAGAGGGAAGACCTAGTGTGTGTGTGTGTGTATATACCGTATATACTCGAGTATAAGGCGACCCAAATATAAGCCGAGACACCTAATTTTACCACAAAAAACTGAGAAAACAGATTGACTTGAATATAAACCGAGGGTGGGAAATGCAGCAGCTACTGGCAAATTCCAAAATAAAAACAGATACCAATTAAATTACATTAATTGAGGAGTCAGTAGGTTATATATTTTTGAATATTTACAAAAATGGTAATAAGATAAGACTGTCCAACTCTGATTAAATGATTATTTACCTTCTTCAATGTAAATGTGCTTACGTATCCTTTCAATAATAATAGAGTAACATAACAAATGTAATAATAACAATCATAAAAAGAGTAAAATAATGAATGTAGCAATAACAATTATACAGTAAAATGATAAATGTATAATAATAGAGTAAAATGATAAATGTAATAATAATAAATAGAATAAAATAATTAATGAAATAATAATAATAATAATAATAATAATAGAGTAAAATAATAAATAACCTTGACTCTATAAGCCAAGGGGCAGTTTTTCAGCCTAAAAAAGGGCTGAAAAACTAGGCTTATACTCGAGTATATACAGTATATATATAATTTACCAAACAAATACATAAACATGTATTTGAGTCCCCCCAGGGGTGAGAAAGGCAGTATATAAATACTGTAAATAAAATAATAAATAAGCAAAGAACTTAACTACAGCAGAGTCTCGCTTATCCGACCTTCGCTTATTTGACATTCTGTCTTATCTAATGCCCTCTTTTCCTCCAGCATTTCCCCTTCAATTAAAGGAGCGCTCTCCAACTCCCCAATAAGTGAAAAAGGCAAAAGGCGCTCCCCAATAAGTCAAAAAGGCAAGATGAAGAGGAGGAGGGAGGAAAAGAGGAAAAGAGGCAGAAGCATCCTCCCTCCATCCCTCTGTGATTTCTACGCTCCTCTTTCGCATCTGGGCACTTCCTGCTGGGCCACTCTAGCCCCGAGGTATTGCCTTGCTTTAACCCTTTGACTCCCTGTTGTTAGTATTCTAAGCGTCTAGTGCCATGGTCGGATGGATTATAGTAGGAGACTCCGTATTATCTGACTTCATTTATCCAACGTTCTGCTGGCCTGTTTATATCGCATAAGTGAGACTCTGCTGTATTTATCAATGACAAAGGAGGGTTGAGGAACACTTCATTTTGCTAACAAATGCTCTGTCATGTTTTTTTTATTTCCACAATTATGTAATTGAAATGAAAATTCACAGTTTTGTAAGCTTCTGGCTAAAGCCAGATGTTTAAACAGAAAAAAATGAACTGTATGAGAAATGTTGGGCGGTTTCAAAATACATGTTTCATTTCTTAAGTACACAGTGTGGACTGAACAGGATATTGTTAAATTAAATGGACCTTGTATGTATTACATTATAATATACTATAATTTTTATATTAC